GCGTTGGGGCACAGTCAGTTAAGGCACTGCTTGCAGCACTGGCATCGCTTATCAGAGCTCTGGTGCCAGGTCCCAGCTGCCTTGCTTCTGAGCCAATTTCCTGTTCATGCACCTGGGAAGGCAGCAGGTGATGGCCCAAGGACTTGAACCCCTGCCCCCCATGTGGGAGACACAGATGGAGTTCCAGGGTCCTGGCATTGGCTTGGCCCAGCCCTGGCCTTTGCTGGCATTTGGGGTTGAGAGAAGACTTCTCTCTCTCTCTCTCTCTCCTCTCTCTCCCTTTCAAATAAATAAATAATTTTTAAACAACAGTTACATTCTCCCTTTTCTGTAATATCCTATTAGTTATGTACGTGATTGTTTTTGAAAAAGTTTATGGAAAATGCATATTAAGAAAAATTTTGTACAGATTTCAAAATCTTTTGTGCCAAAATAAGCATAGCTTTTAATTTCATTTCTCTTTGATATTTTTCAAGTGTCTTCATATTAGTCCTATTAAACTGTTCAGCATGAGAAAACATTGTACAGGGACAAGATTATACCAGGAGACGGGGGTGACAAGAGCAGGCTACTCCCTGCCTCTTCCTAATGCTTCCACAAGGGGTGCTCCAGAAATAACTCTCTCTGCATATACAAGGAAAAGCTAACCACCAGCTGACCTGACAGATAACGCTGTGTATGTGCAATTGATACTCCCCCCCCCCCCAAAAAAAAGGGAGCGACTGTAGGGAAAAATTAGAGATCATGGATAAGGATTTCTAAAATGAATGAAAGAGGATTAACTATAGGTCCGCAAATAGCAAGAGAAGCACAAAGAAAAACAAACTGTTGAAAACAAGAGATGAAAAAAGAAACTTTGGAGACAGCTGGTGTGGGAGGAATTACAAGGAAGTGAAGATAAACATCACCATGGATTTCTCACCAGGAAGATGACTAGGGAGCAACATAAAAACAAAAACAGAACATCCACTCAGAATTCTAGACTTAGTACAAAATCATTAAAAAATAAAGGTCAGGATCCGGCACTGTGATGCAGCGGGTTAAAGCCCTGGCCTGCAGTGCCGGCACCCCATAGGGGCGCCGGTTCTAGTCCCAGCTGCTTCCTATCCAACTTCCTAGCCAGCTCTCTGCTATGGCCTGGGAAAGCAGTAGAAGATGGCCTAAGTCCTTGGGCCCCTGCACCCACATGGGAGACCTGGAAAGAGCTCCTGGCTCCTGGCTTCGGATCAGCTCAGCTCTGGCCGCTGTGGCCATCTGGAGAGTAAACCAGCGGATAGAGGACCTCTCTCTCTGTCTCTACCTCTCTCTGTAACTCTGTCTTTCAAATAAATAAAATCTTAAAAATAAATAAGTAAATAAATAAGGATGAAAGGAGAACTTTATTTCAGGCAACCAAGAACTTATGGGATTTACTGTAGGAAATCTTGGGGTCAGTGCTGTGGCTCCGTGGGTTAAGTCACTGCATCCCATATGAGCACCAGTTCGAGTCCCAGCTGCTGCTCTTCCATCCAGCTCTTGGGAAAGCAGAGGATTATGGCCCGAGCGTTTGGGCTCCTGCTGCCCACATGGGAGACCCAGATGAAGTTCCTGGCTTCTGGCTCCTCCCTGGCCCAGCTCTGGCCGTTGTGGTCACTGGGGAGTAAACCAGAAGATGGAAGATCTCTCTCTGTATATCTCTTCTGCTCTCTGTGAAACTCTTCAAATAAATAAGTAAATAAATTTTCTAAAAATACAATAGTATAAGTAATAATAATAACATAATGTAGTTTCTGACTACAATTCAGCAAAAAGATGAACAAAATGATAAGCAGTCTTCAGTGTATTCAGAATCTTAAAAATACACATAAATAATACAGGTTTCAAAGGAGAAATCTAAATAAAGAATTAAAATTTGAGAATATATTTAGATCTGAAGAACAATGTAAACACTAAACTTTTCCACTTGAAGAACACAGCTAAAATAGTACTTTGCAGGTAAATTAACAGTTTGCAATGCATAGACAATACTATTGAACATTGATGAGCTGTGAATATAACTCAGCTATCCAAAGTAAAATGAAAGAAACAAACAAAAAGCAGACTAAACCCCAAAAGTAAGGAAAATAAAATAATAAGCATAGCATAAATTATTAACATAGAAACAGCAAACAAACAAGAAACAATAAAGACTGATAAAATAAAAGGTTAAATGAACAAAAATAAATGCATTTCTGGAAAAATTGTTTTGAAAAACTGACCACATTTCTGTAGTTTTGTAATAGAAACTGAAATCAGAAAGTGTGATGCCTGTGGCGCTTCTTGATCAAAATTACTTTGGCTGTCAGGGATCTTTAGTGGTGTATATGCATTTTGACGTTATTTCTCCTATTTCTGTAAAAATTGTCTTTGGGACTTCAATAAGGATTGCATTGAATGTATAGATAACTTTAGGTGGTATGGACATGTTAACAATGTTAACTTTTCCAGTTCATGAACGTAGATTTCCCCCACTTGTTTATGTCTTAATTTAATGTCTTCATTTTTAAAAAATATTTACCTTATTTATTTGAAAGAGAAAGTTATGGAGAGAGAGAGAGAAAGAGAGAGAGAGAGAGAGAGAGAGATCTGCCATCTGCTGGTTCACTCCCCAAATGGCTACAGTGGCCACAGCTGGGCCAGGATGAAGCCGGGAGCTTCATCTGGGTCTGCCACGTGGGTGCAGGATTCCAAACACTTGGGCCATCCTCTGCTGCTTTCCCAGACAGAGCAGCCAAGACTCCAGCCGGCACCCATATGCAATGTTGGAGCTGCAGGCGGCAGCTTAACCTGCTATGCCACAGCACTGGGCCCTGTCTTCATGGTTTTACAGCTTTTTAGCCAACAGGTCTTTCACCTCTTCAGTTTGGTTTATTCTGAAGTATTTGGTTCTTTTTGGTGCTGTGTGTAAGTGGGATTGCTTTCTTAGCTTTCTTTTCAGAGTGTTGTTGGTATACAGAAATGCTATTGATTTTTTAATCCTGATTTTTTCACCTGCAAATTTACTGGTTTATTTCTTAGTTCTAATGGTTTTCTTGTAAAGTTTTTGGAGGGTTTGTTACATATAAATTTATGTCACTTGCAAAGAAAAATAATTTCACTTCCTCCTTTCTGATTTAGATGCCTTGTATTTCTGTTTCTTGCCTAATTGCTCTCACCAGCTATTGCGGTCCATATAGAAAAGAAATAGGGAGAGTGAGCACAGTTACCTTATTCCAGAACTTAGAGGAAAGCTCTCAGTATTTCACCATGAAGTCTGGTGTCGGCTATAGATTTTTCATGTCTGGCTAGTATTGTGTGGAGGTGAGTTAGTTCCTTCTGTACCTGATTTTTTGAGATTTTAAAAACCTTGTCAACTGTTCTTTCTTCATCTATCAAGACACTTGCATGATTTGCATCCTTCATTCCCTTCATGTACTGTGTCATATTGATTGATTCACATATGTAGAAATATCCTTGCATCCCAAGGATAAATGCAAATATGGCGCTGGCATAAAAGTAGACATGTAGATCAAAGGAATGGAAGAGACAGCTTAGAAATAAACCCATGCATTTGTGATCAACTGATCATCAACGAGGTGTCAAGAATACACAATGGGGAAAGGAATTTCTCCTCAATGTATAGTGTTAGGGAAACACAACAGACTATGCACATTCATGAATTAAGTTGCGCTCTTATCATTCACTATACACAAAACTCAATAAACTTGAATCAAGACCCTAAGGTAAGATCTGAAATTCTCAAGTTCTTAGAAGAACACACACAGGAAACCTTCTTGAATCAGTCTTTGTAATGATTTCTTGGGTGTAACCCAAAAGCACAGCCATCATCAGCTGAAAGATGTCAGACTACAGGAAGCTTCAAAGCTTCCGCGTAGCAAAGGAAAGATCAACAGAATTCAAGTGGATCGAATTTCTGGCAAGCCAGGTGTCTGCGAAGAGGTTGGTTTCCAAAATACATGAGGAACTCCTGAAACTCAGTAGCAAAAAACAAATAGCCCAATTTATAAGCAGGCGAAGGACTTTAATAACTTCTTCTCCAGAGGAGAGATACAGAGAGCAGGTACATACAAAGATGCTCAACATCACCTGTATCAAGTAAATGTGTATCCAAGCTGCACTTACACTTGTTAGGATGACCGTCACAGGAACTACAAAAGACGGGTGTTGGAGAGGTTGTGGAGAAATTGTAATCTTTGGACTTTATGTGTCTCTTTAATATTGTCTTTATTTTAAAGAGATCTGACACAAAGCCAAAAAAAAAAAAAAAGTGTGCATCTTTTAAATCTGTATGGTAGTCTCTAGGTGTCAAAGGCTGGATTATGAAGATGCTCATGTCCCAATTCCTGCATGGGTTCCTCTGTATACCTCACCTGTATCCTGTGTTACATATGTATCATCCTCGTGCATATGCAACATGTGTAATACATATGTATCATTCTTGCAAATGTGCTAACTTGCATAGTAAAAAGGCCATTGCAAATGCGATCAAATCAAGAGACTTGAGATAGGAAGATGATTCTGGATGCTTCAGGTGACCCCAGTGTCTTTATAAGGACCTCATAAAGGGAAGAAGAAATTAGTCAGAGGAGAAGATGCAGGTATGGAATAGAGGTAGGACTGTAGCAGTTGCAATTTAAGGGATGTGGGCAAAAGGCAAGGAAATGGATTCTCCTCTGGTACCTCCATGAGAATTGCAAGCTTAAGGGCTCACCTGGGACTTCTGACCTCCAGAACTCTAAGAGAATCAATTTGTATTGCTTTAAACCACTGAGTGTGTAGTAACTCATCCCAGCAGTGATAGGAAACTAATGTAATCATTGAGACTGCTTTATATCAGTGGCTAAAAGATGAATCGTTCCTAATAAAGTTGAAGGATATGCTAACCATCTAGAAAAAGAAAATAAAAATCGGATTCGTTACCTCACTCCTTCAGCCAAAATAAATTCCAGATATATTAAACATTAAAAGTGATGTTTAGGCCGGCGCCGCGGCTCACTAGGCTAATCCTCCGCCTAGCGGCGCCGGCACACCGGGTTCTAGTCCCAGTCGGGGCGCCGGATTCTGTCCCGGTTGCCCCTCTTCCAGGCCAGCCCTCTGCTGTGGCCCGGGAGTGCAGTGGAGGATGGCCCAGGTGCTTGGGCCCTGCACCCCATGGGAGACCAGGAAAAGCACCTGGCTCCTGGCTCCTGCCATCGGATCGGTGCGGTGCGCCGGCCGCAGCGCGCTGGCCGCGGCGGCCATTGGAGGGTGAACCAACGGCAAAGGAAGACCTTTCTCTCTGTCTCTCTCTCTCACTGTCCACTCTGCCTGTCAAAAAAAAAAAAAAAAAAAAAAAAAAAGTGATGTTTAAAAAAATTACCAGCACAGAAGAAGAGCTGGGATATTTAAAAAATAGTCTTGAAGGTTTTTAAAAGATGATTTTTAAAGTCAAAGTGAGATTTACTTGCTGTAAAAGACAAAAATTAATAAAATTGGATCTATGACAAATGTTGCTTATGGATAATAAATTAGCGTTGACAAAATCATAAGGTAATCAACTCCTACAAATAAATTTTGCAACAGATACTATGAATAATTTTCTAAATATATAAAAAAAACCTTATGAAACAGCCAAAAAAAGTCGTCAATCATTTAATTTAAAAAATAGATAGAAGTTGACATTTGGTACAGCCATTAGCACACCACTTAGGACATTCACATCCCATATCAAGGAGTCTGTTTTGAGTCCCAGTTCACTTCCCATTCCAGCTTCCTGCTAAAGTACACCCTGAGAAGCAGTGGTGTAGGTTCAAGTGTTTGGAACCTTGACACTCATGCTGTAGACTCAGACTGAGTTCCTACTTCCTGGCTTCAGACTGGTCCAGCTCCAGCTGTCAAAGGCATTTGGAGAGTGAACCAGCACATAAATCTCTGGCTCTCTGCCTTTCTAATAAAATAAATATTGAAAAAATTCTAACTATGCAGAGATTAGAAATAGGAAATTCATAAATACAAGCTTGCCAACAAATGAAAAGACAATGCACATCAATCTAAATTAGACATAATGTAAAAATTTAGTTTTCAAAACGAAAATCTGTGTTGCACCTAAGATGTTAGCAAACATTTAGAAAGCTTCCTGGTGCATAGTGCATCTGCTGGTGTTAGAAAACGCTTGTGTCTCACCTCAGCTCAGCAATGCTAAGTTGTAGCCAGTCTGGAGACCGACCCGGTGACCTGGTGGTTTCCATACATTGACAACGGGGTCACTTGTTGACGCAGCAACTCTGCATCTGACAACTGAGCCTGCACATATGAGAATATTCATTGTCACGTCACTTGCCATAGCAAAAGACAGGTGACAATGACTGGCCCCATTGTTAGAGGAGTGGGAACATAAATTGTGTTATGTTTGTATGTGGTCTTGCCAAAAAAGGAAGTTGTTATTCATGAACTGATATATTTAAAAATTTCTAAGCATTGAAGCAAAGTGGCCGAAGGGTAGTATAGCATGTGGAGCATACTCCCATTTGTATAAAAAGGGATGATAATACGGGTAATATTGTGAGAGATAATGTGCAACCATATAGTAAATTGATTACAATACATGCAGGTTGGATTGTCAATGGAAAATAACACATGTTTGTTCTACTTCAGGCAAAGACTATTTTGGGCGAGGCTAGGTTGGTCAGGGTAATTAGTTACTTCTGGGGAAAAGACTTAAGGAAATCTAGAAATTTCTCTAATGTGTTTTCTAAATGCAATATTAATTTTTAATTAAAGACACATCATCAAAAAACCCCATATGGAGTGAGTCATTGGGATTTTTTAAAATTAGGAATGAGTCATCAACCTCCCAGAGGCAGATATTATCTGTTACTAAAGCTTTCTTTTACATGCCTTCTGTCTATGAACTAAAGTTCTCCTATTATCTCGGCATAGAAATTTCTTTTTTTTAAATTAATTTTTTGACAGGCAGAGTTAGTGAGAGAGAGAGAGAGAGAGAGAGAGAGAGAAAGGTCTTCCTTCCGTTGGTTCACCCCCCAAATGGCCGCCACGGCCGGTGCGCTGCGCCGATCCGAAGCCAGGAGCCAGGTGCTTCCTCCAGGTCTCCCATGCAGGTGAAGGGCCCAAGGACCTGGGCCATCCTCCACTGCACTCCCGGGCCACAGCAGAGAGCTGGCCTGGAAGAGGGGCAACCGGGACTAGAACCCGGTGTGCCGGTGCCGCAGGCAGAGGATTAGCCTAGTGAGCCGTGCCAATGGCCTCGGCATAGAAATTAGTATGCACAACACGATTTCAACCAGCAAAACGATGTACACACACGCATACACACTTGAACTTGGCACTAAAGGACTGCACGACATGTCAAAATATTACTTAGGTGATTATTTTTGGTGGAAATATGAATTGTTTTTAATATTTTCATTATTTCATATTTTTACATTGTGCATCACTTTGTAAAGAGAAAAAAATACTTTAATTCGCAGATATAATTTACATATGCATGCATAGAGCTTCCATCTACTGGTTCATTCTCCAAATGGCTGCAAATGCTGAGACTGGGCCAGGCTGAAGCCAGGAGCCAGGAGCTTCATCCAGGTCTCCCACATGGGAGCAGGGACCCAAGCACTAGGCCATCTTCCCCTGCTATCCCAGGTACATCAGCAGGGAGCTGGATCAGGGGTAGAGCAGCCAGGACTCCAACCGGCATCCATATGGGATGCTGGCACTGCAGCCACAGCCACGGAGAGCCGGCCTCCCATGATACACATTTTCCATGAACTATTTGAAGAACTCTCTATACTTGGATTTCATATTTTCTGCACCAAAACAAATCTATCTTTTAATTTCATTTTTCACAAACTTTTTAAGTACTTTTGAATGTATATATGCATATGTATGATGATTTATACTTGAAAAACATACACAGAAATGTAGGAAACTGTAGGGAAGTATGCCAAGGTATTATCAGTACACACCTCTTCCTGTTGAAGATTTTTGTCTTCCTTTTTCTATTTTCCAAATTTTTTGTGAACAGAATTATTATACTTCAAATGAAAGCTCAGTATAAAAATATAGACAAAACTGCTGTTTTAAGTAAGAATGTTCAGATTCTTGTAGGCTTCCTGTAGTTAAAACCAATGCAAATTCTTTCCTATTTGATGGAATCATTTTTTTCAGAAAGGACAAGAAACATATATTGAGTAGGTGACTTATAAAAATTCCTAACTGGAAAGCAATCATTGGCAATAAAATCTAGAGGGTAAATCTACTTTGGGGAATACCAAAGGAATACCTTTCAACTTATCACTGGAGAGGAAGGTAGCAATATTTTAGAGTTTTCTGTACCTTGTCTTCAAGTCAATTTCTAACTAAACGCACGATGTAGTTAACACCTAAAGCAAAGAGGCAGAGTGTCAGCCCCCCTAACAGAAGTCCAAGCTCACTTGATGTTCCATGGAAATAATCCCAAGGGTAGCTCCTCAAGAGTCATTGGTGGGATGGACACAAGAGGTAATAGGAAAACATAACCATTCCAAACCTAAGCGATAGGAAGAACATTTCTGATTTTTATATTTAGGAAGGAGATAGAGAAGAGAGAGAGAGAGAGAGAGAGAGAGAGAGAGAGATGATAGAGACAGAGAGAGAGATAGAAATAAAGATGATACAGACAGAAATGAGATAGAGACAGAAATGATAGACATAGACATAGAAATACAGAGATAGAGATAGAGATAGAGACAGAAATGATAGAGATAGAGAGAGATGATAGAGACAGATAGAGAGATAGAGGCAGATAGAGATAGAATGGTAGACAGAATGGTAGATAGAGAGATAGAGATAGAATGGTAGTTGTACAAAGCACGGTATCCCGCAAGAGTTAAAACACTGTAAAAGGAGATGCTAATCTGTGCTTACACGCTTCTACGTCTTTCATCTCTGTGGAGCAGCCTCTCTACACATTTACATGATGATAAAAGCACTCCGTGGCAATCAGCCTTGGTGTGGAAGGAAGGTGCATGCCAGCGCAGCATCACGGCAGGTTTTTTCAGAGCCAGATTAACATTTGTTGATTTGCCCAACGTGACTGACTGGCTCAACAACCACATGAATATTTCATCTTAATGAGACTAGAGAAGAAGGGATGAGACACAGGCAAAAAAGAGGTTCTAGAAGGCATTTTCAATTTTATAAAGAAACGAGTATTAAACTGACATGCTTGAAGGGAACATGGAAAATAACGACACCATTTTTTGGCAAGTGCATTTTTGATTATGCTATCTGGAAAAGAACAAAGAGCAAGCACACATGCACTCAACGCCCCAATTAGACGGGTGCTAATGCTGCATTGCATGTGTTTTATTTTATGTCTTTATAAAATGTTATAAATATACCTGAAGCCACCATAGTGATTTCCTTCTTCCAACACTCCTTTGCCGGACATAACTGCTGTCATTCTCATCCATGTTACTGTCTACGGAAATGTCCCCAAATAATATCAAATACTGTGTGTGAATTTTCTATCACTATAAAAATGCCATCTTGTATTTATCTTCCTACAAACTGCATTCTTCATCCCACATTATGTTTAGAAGATTCAATTGGGTTGCTACTTGAAGATCAAATGGATTCATTTTAAGAGCTCTACAGTGTCCTGTGGATGCAATGCAATTTATCAAATCTTCCATTGATGTATCTTTAGGCCTTTTTATTCCTACACTGTTTTATAATAAAAAAGAGATTGATTTATTTATTTGAAAGTCACAGTTACCGAGAAAGAAGGAGAGATCAAGAGAAAAGTCTTCCATTCATTGGCGTCATTCTTCAAGTGGCTGCAATGGCCAGGGCTGAGCCAGGTTGAAGACAGGAACCAGGAGCTTCATCTGGGTCTCCCACATAGGTGTCAGGGGCCCAAGCACTTGGGCCATTTTCCATTGCTTTTCACAGGCCATTAACAGGGGGCTGGATAGGAAGTGGAGCAGCCAGAACACAAACCTACCCTTATGTGGGATGCTGGGATTACAGGTGGCAATTTTAGCCACTAGGCCATCCGATGGTTTACTCCCTAATTGGCTCCAACAGCTGGAGCTGCACTGATCTGAAGCCAGGAGCCAGGAGCCTCCTCCGCGTCTCCCATGTGGGTGCAGGGGC